CTTCTAGGACCAACTGTGGGTGGTAGTCTAAATGTGTACCAAGTCTCACGTCGATCGGATTTACGAAAGTGCCAAAGTACAGTGTTTTAAAACATGTACAAACCCTATGGGAAAATATGTATCTTTAACGTGACGTAACCTGACACCTGATGACGTCACTGTCACAAATTTCTTCTAGGACCATCTGTTGGTGGTAGTCTAAGTATTTACCACGTCTGAAGTCGATCAGATTTACGAAAGTGACCAAAGTGGAGTGTTTTTAAACGTGTACAAAACCTATGGGGAAAAATGCATCTTTAATGTGACGTAACCTGACACCTGATGACGTCACGATCACGAAATTCTTTTAGGACCATCTGTGGCTGGTTGTCCAACTATGTATGAAGTCTAAAGTCGATCGGATTTACGAAGGTGCCAAAGTGGAGTGTTTTAAAGTGTGTACAAAACATATGGGGAAAAATGCATCTTTAATGTGACGTAACCCGACACCTGATGACGTCACGATCACGAATTTCTGCTAGGACCATCTGTGGGTGATGGTCTAAGTATGTACCAAGTCTTAAGTTGATCGGATATAAGAAAGTGCCAAAGTGTACTGGTGGAAGAAAAACGTGTACAAACCATATGGAGAAAGAGTCTGAAAAAGGAGAAGAAAAAGAAAAAAAAAGAAAAAAAAAAATCTTAACGAAAACAAGAGCTGTTTTGGTGTGTACACCGAAACAGCTAAAAAAATCTTAACGAAAACAAGAGCTGTTTCGGTGGGTCACCGAAACAGCTAAAAAGTCTACTCTGATCCAGAATAAGGCCAATTTTGGACCAGTGCAACCATTGTTTCACATAGTGGAAATATCTATGAAAGTCATTAACTTTCTCCAAGTTTAACTACAATAAAACAATACTTCCTGAAATCAAAGTCAAACAAACTAACATCTATATTAATCTTTACAATTTCCACTTCTGTTTGTATGTGAAAACTAAGGATAAGATGTAAATAAAAGTAACTTTTCCTACCTGAAATGGAGAGGGAACAGAAGAAACAGCAGCTTAGTTGGTGGGAAAATAGCACCAAGGCATGTTAGGCCACACCACCCCAACCGCTGCACCCTCTGGGCTCAGGGGTCAGTCCACTTTCAAGTAGGGGTTACCAGGGTAGAGCAAATATTTAACTTTAAGTGTGAAGGAGACCTGTTGGTTAAATTTGTTTAATGTACAAAAAGAGATCTATAAATTAGGGGGCCTCATTTACATCATGCCACATTTTTATAAGGGATTGAAATCTTCAAGGTTATATGGGATTGAAATTCTTAGGTCACAATAATTTTAATTTTTCGATATGTAAATTGCAATGGACATGTTTTTAACAGTATGCTTTGTATGCTGATCTGTAAAAGTCATTGTTCATGTTTTAATGTTTTTGTTTGTGTGTGTAAATTGTAATGGTGATTGTTGTCAAATAATTTGTTGATTTGGTGTTAAATAGTTTATTATTTTGTTAAATCCATTGCAATTCAGTTTTTTAACAAATTAAAATGAAAATGAAATAATTTGAAGGCCTATATCTCCATAACTACAGGTCCGATTGGGTTGAAACTTGGTATGTATCTAAACCGGGATGTGTTATAGATGAAAATTTAAGTGACGTCACGATGACGTTATCACGTGACATGTGACGTCATATTAAATGTGCATATTTTTAAAAGGCCAATATCTACAGAACTACGTACAAGTCTGATTGGGTTGAAACTTGGTATGTACCTAAACTGGGATGTGTTATAGATAAACATTGAAGTGATGTCACGATGACGTCATCACGTGATATGTGACGTCATATCAAAATTGCACATTTTGAAGGCCAATATCTACAGAACTACAAGTGTGATTGTGTTTAAACTTAGTATGTACCTAGACCGGAATGTGTTATAGATGTTAATTGATGTGACGTCATCATGACGTCATCACGTGACATGTGACGTCATAATTCAAAGCCCTATGAGAATGTAATCACATATGACATTATATGCATGCATTTTATTATAAACAGAACTCCTTCCTTGATGGAATGTTTACATGTACTTGAAACTTTACTTGTCACATGTCACAAAAAGTTACCGAAACAGCCCTATGTTTGTCCACAAACATACTTGACATAAATCTAGTTTTTTTTTTCTTGTTTTTTTTCTTGTTTTTTTTTCAGCCATTCCTCATAGCATTTGTACACATTTTTACAGAGAAGGCACTTTGGGCAATAAAATCAATCCGATTGACTTCATACTTGGCACACACTTAGACCAGCATCTGAAGTTGTGTGACGAACATTGACGTCATCATTACGTCATCACGAGTCACGTGACGTCACATAATATGCGATTTTTCTATTGTGACCATTTTCTAGCAGAATTCGGCTAGATCTGACAGATTGGGCTATATCTCCAGAACTACAGGTCATATTGGGTTGAAAGTTGGTATGTACCTAGACTGAGATGTCTTATAGATGAAAATTAACTTAACGTCATGATGACGTTATCACGTGACATATGACGTCATATAAAATAAACATACATGTATTTTGAAGGCCTTTATCTCCAGAACTGCAAGTCCAATTGGGTTAAAACTTGGTATGTACCTCAACCGGGAAGTGTTACAGATGAAAATGAAGTGACGTCACGATGACGTCATCACGTGACATGTGACGTCACATTAAAAGTGCAGATTTTAAAGACCTATATCTACAGAACTACAGGTCCGATTTGGTTGAAAGTTGGTCTGTATCTAGACTGGGATGTGTTATAGATGAAAATTGAAGTGACGTCACCGCCAGTAGTAATGATTACGCCCTCTTGGGTTCGTGACCTTCGACCTTTTTGGTCTTCGTTCTATCGTTTATCGCTCAATGTGCGTTCTAGCCTTTGTTCATTAAAGTCTCCCATTATGCCCGATAAGTTGATTACAGTTGCGGTTATTGTGTGTGTTGGATTGAACTCTTGTCCCTACTGGCGTGGTGGCAGTGTTTTGAGACGAATCTTCACCGTAGAAAGTGTGGAAAAAGTGCTTCAAACCTCGGACAAACCGGACACATACGGTACATAGCCATTCACGTACACGATGAATGACTGTACAGTTATACATACAATTGAGTACATCGTCTTGTCATCCAGTGGTTATTTTCGGAGTGCACTATGGCATCCACGCACCGCGCACCGAAGCAGTGGTGCTTGAGCAAGGTAGAAACAGTAAACACTTTGAAGAACTGGCAGCAAAACCTTCAATATACACTCTCACTTGATTCCAACTTTGCTCCATTCTTAGTGGAGGGCTGTCAGTGGGGGAAGAAAATTAAAACGGCCTCCCTACGAGGTTTCCAGGATGACAATGACACAGTCCCAGTGGACAAATGCAAAACTGCTTAGCAAAAAGTAACTATGCTTGAGCTAATGTTGGGGCAAATCGCCAATTATTGCCCCGTGATATCCAGAAATACCATTATGAAGAACTCAACCTCAGTACAGACCATATGGCAAGTCATACGCCTACACTTTGGCTTTCAATCAACTGGCGCCCACTTTATTGACTTTTCTGACATCCACCTCTGCCCAGATGAGCGACCAGAAGACCTGTATCAGCGCCTCGTGGCATTTGCAGAGGACAATTTACTTCGCTCGGACAGCGGAATTTCCCATCATGGCCAGCCAGTTACTGAGGATGAGGAACTGTCTCCCTCCCTAGAGAACTTTATCGTCCTAACATGGTTGCGTCTGATACATACCAGTCTGCCAAAGTTAGTGAAGCAGCGATACGGTACAGAGCTCCGGTCACGCACACTCGCCTCCATCAAGCCTGAGATATCACAAGCCCTTGACTCGCTCCTGGAGGAAGTTCATACCTCCGATCGTACAGCAACCTCACGCCCTCCCCCTTCACGCCCGTCTTTCGGCTCGCAACCCAGGTCCGAACTAGGTCATTCACAACGACGCCCCTCTCGTTCCCAAAAGTCATGCCCCATCTGCAAACAGGTTGGACGGAACAGTTCAAATCACTTCCTGAGCGAGTGCCCTCACCTCCCCGAGCAGGACCGACGCTTTATCCTGAAAGCCCGTCAAATCGCCAACATCCTGGACAACAGCCCAGAAGATGAGCCCCAAGTAGTCAATGAGGATGAGGAGAGCCCTGACACGAACAAGAGGGACAATCCCTCCGCCTTCAGAGTCCAGACACGACATTCCCTGTACTTGGACATCACACCATCCGCATAACCATCAATAGTGGAGCCACAGGAAACATGATCCGTGCCTCCACTGCAAAGCGCCTAGGGGCTACAATAAAGGAAAGCTCCCAGTCTGCACATCAAGCAGATGGTTCATCCCCACTCACAGTAATGGGCGAGACACGCCTCACACTCTCTCGTGATGGCCGCGAGTTCTGCTTCGAAGCCCTAGCGGACGGAACCTCGATGTCGGTGCACTTGGTGGTACACCTTTTATGGAGACAAATGATTTGGCCGTTCGACCAGCCAAGCGCCTCATCTCCCTCGCAGATGGAACCACCTTCCTCTACGGCTCACTAACGGACCAACGCAGGCCTCATAGCGTCCGCCGTGCACATGTACTTCGTGCCCCTGCCAGCTCCACCACTGCCTGGCCAGGAGAATTCATTGAGGTACAACTCCCCAAGGACATATCGTCATCGGACAGCACTTTCGCCCTTGAGCCCCGCACTGATTCCCCTAGCACCAATATGGCTGACCCTGCTCAACTCTGGCCTCCCCCGGACATAATTGACAGCATGGCAGGGAAGATCCGCATTCCTAACTTGACTACGGAGCCACGTGTACTGAAATGACATGAACACTTCTGTCAAGTCCGCCCTGTGTTCATACCTACCCCACCCCACGACAAAACAAGTGAGCGCGGTACCAGCCAGAGCTGACCAGAAAAGCAACTGCCCCGGCCGGCCCCACACCCAAACTAGTCTCCCTTGACCCAGACAACATACTTCCTAACGAAATGAAAGCTGCTTTCCAGTCCCTCAACCAGGAGTTTGATGAGGTCTTCAACCCGGTATTCAATAGTTATAATGGCAGTGCTGGACACTTTGAAGCTGTCATCAACATGGGACCCGTCCAGCCCCCACAGTATTCAAAGGACAAACTGCAGGAGCTTCAACACAAATTTGACGATCTTGAACAAAAGGGTGTCTTTGCACGTCCAGAAGAAGTAGGCATCACAGTCGAATACCTCAACCCCTCCTTTCTCATCAAGAAGTCAAATGGTGGCTTTCGATTAGTCACGGCCTTTGCCAATGTTGGCCGCTATAGCAAGCCACAGCCTGCCCTCATGCCTGATGTCAACTCCACCCTGCAACAAATCGCACAGTGGAAACACATTATTGCCACTGACCTCACCAACGTCTTGTACCAAATCCCCCTATCCCGCGACTCCATGAAGTACTGCGGAGTAGCCACCCCTTTCTGCGGAGTTCGTGTCTACACCAGGTCAGCAATGGGCATGCCGGGCTCAGAAACTGCACTTGAAGAGCTTATTTGCCGCGTGCTGGGTGACCAGCTGAAGGAGGGCATTGTAGCCAAGATCGCAGATGATCTGTATTGTGGTGGCAACACTCACAATGAGCTGTTACATAATTGGAGGCGGGTCCTGCATACCCTGTACAAATGCGATCTTCCCCTCTCTGCCAAAAAGACTGTCATCTGCCCAAAGACGACCACCATACTCGGATGGGTTTGGTCACTGGGAACACTCCGTGGGAGTCCTCATCGCGTCGCAACCCTTGCATCATGCTCCATCCCTGAGAAAGTCGCAGGCCTGCGTTCTTTCATCGGGGCATACAAAGTCCTTGCCTACGTCCTTCCTAACTGTGCCTCCATCATATCACCCCTAGATCGGTTGATCACCTTCAATGGACTGACGACACTCGCACCGCCTTCTCCAATGCTCAGGGTTCCCTCTCTAAAGCTCGTACGGTCACTTTACCTCGCCCAGATGACCAGTTATGGATTGTCACAGATGGAGCTGTCAAGAATCATGGCATTGGTGCAACTATGTATGTCACACGCCATGGTACGCTGCTCCTTGCCGGCTTCTTCAGTGCCAAACTCCGTGGGCCAACTTGGCTCCCGTGTGAAGTAGAGGCCCTGTCAATTGCTGCTGCCACTAAGCACTTCACCCCATACATCACTCAGGCTACACACAAAACATCCATCCTCACCGACAGCAAACCCTGTGTTCCAGCTTATATGCCATGGGGAATTTTCCACCAGCCCCCGTGTATCTACATTTCTGTCGACTGTCAGCCGCTTTCAAGCCACAGTCCGCCATCTCGTAGGGTCAGCAAATATCCCATCAGACTTTGCCAGTCGAAATGCCCCAGAGTGCACTGACTTTGCTTGCCAAATCTGCTCGTTCATGAAGCATACAGAGGATTCCATCGTCCAGCTCATCTCTACACAGGACATTGTCGCTTAGGCAAGGTGAAGCTGCCATTCACCAGTCGATCAGCCTGGGCAAACTTGCAGGCAGAGTGCACAGATTTGCGCCGTATGCATGCTTATCTTCTGCAAGGCACTCGTCCCTCCAAAAAGGTCACCAATGCCAAAGATGTCAAACGATACCTCAACGTCGCCACCATCGCCAAAGATGGGCTCCTGATCGTTTGCAGAGATGAGCCACTTGCTCCCACACAGGAGTGCATTGTAGTCCCATGACAGGTTTTGGATGGCCTCCTCACTGCCCTTCACATCCAGCTCAACCATCCATCATGCCACCAACTCAAGTGCATTGTCCATCGTTACTTCTACGCCCTCGACATGGACAAGTCCATTGAGAAAATTTCATCTAGTTGCCACCAATGCGCTGCTCTCCGCAATGCCCCCACTACCGTAAAGCCTCAAACCACTGAAGATCCACCAGATGCTGTCGACATATCCTTCGCGGCCGACGTTATCAGTGAGAGTGTCACGTCTTTCACAGCCACATGCTTCATAGAGGATGAACGACACACCAACCTTCGGGACGCAATTATTACCCTTTGCATTGAGTTATGCCAGTACCAGGCTTCAAGTCCCTTGTGACTGATGAGCTCCTGCAGCAGCACAGGTTGACCATTGAAATTAGCCGCATCAAGAATATCAACAAGAATCCAGTTGCCGAAAAAGCTGTCAGAGAGCTGGAAGACGAGCTCCTGCGCCAAGATCCCATGGGTGGCACCGCAACACCGCTGACTCTTGCATTAGCCACATCTTGCCTAAATTCCCGCATACGCTCCTGTGGTCTTTCCGCTCACGAGATGTGGTATCAATGGGATCAGTTCACAAACAACCAGATTCCCATCACAGATCCGTGACTGTGTGAACACTTGTAGTGTTTAGGACAAGATATATAATGCCTTCCTATGGAGTGGCACATGTGTGGCAGAATAATCCCCAGGGCTGGAAGGCAGTCTACCCCTATGAAGGCCCATTTTTCTTTCTTTATGTAGCAATAGATTAGATTTTGATATTACATGTTTAGCTTTTGTTTCTTGTTTCAATTGAGCGCAGCAACAAAAAGCCATATCTTCCGTTATCCTTCTAATATATTTTACTGTAAGAGGGACTCATTGTTTAGGTTCTTTGCCTTGTTTCAAAAGAGAAAAAAGAGGTAACGCCAGTAGTAATGATTACGCCCTCTTGCGTTCGTGACCTTCGACCTTTTTTGTCTTCGTTTATCGTTTATCGCTCAATGTGCGTTCTCGCCTTTGTTCATTAAAGTCTCCCATTATACCCGATAAGTCGATTACAGTTGCGGTTATTGTGTGTGTTGGATTGAACTCTTGTCCCTTCTGGCGCACGATGACGTCATCATGGGTCACGTGACGTCACGTTTAAGATTATTAGATTTAATCTTTGAAAATCACTATAAAATCTACAGAGAGCGACCTGAACTTGATGTTTGCTGGAATGGATAGAATAATCCAGGGTCTTCATTTTTATATTATGTGCAAAATCATGTGACCCTTCCTTCCGGTTGAAACCAGAAGTGGCTTGTAATTTATAATTGGTGAAAGATGTGAACTTGCTTTCAACAATGTATGCTCTGGCTAAGTTGTTCTTTACCATAAAATTATTGTTATACATAAAAATTGATGTGACGTCATCACGTGACATGTGACGTCATAATTCAAAGCCCTATGAGAATGTAATCACATATTATATGCCACCATTTATTATAAACAGAACTACACATCCTTCCTTGACGTAACTTATACTTGAAACTTTACATGTCACATGTCACAAAAAAATTACCGAAACAGCCCTGTGTGTGTCCACAAACATAAATCTAGGTTTATATGAATTTTTGAATTTTTGGACCTTTAAAAGCCATATCTCACGAACGCAACATGCTAAATTCAAAATTCTTTTTGTATTATGTTTGTTAGGTAATAGGTATACATGGGCGTCGCGAGGGGGGGGGGCAAGGGGGGGACTTGCCCCCCCTGGAAAAGCAAAAAAAAAAAAAAAAAAAAGGAAGAAAAAAAAGAAAAGAAAAAAAAAGAAAAAGAGGCGCGAAGACAAAGTGGTGTAAATTTAATGAGTTGGGGGGGGGGGGACAAAATGTCCCTGCCCCCCTCTAAAACTGATAAATCGAGAATGTGTTGAGAAATACAAGCATTTTTCGGCAAAATTTTTTTTTGCCCCCCTCTAGAAAAAATCCTGGCGACGCCCATGTAGGTATATAAACATGAAGAAAATCAAATACCGTTTCTTGATTCATTTTGAGAGAGATGACTTTTAGAACGCTGAGAGTAATTTATCTTAACAGTTAACACGTGAAACTATCTATCTGTATAAAAATAACGGTTGAGATTTCATTTAATTAATTTATGTGTTTTGGGACTACATGTTCATGTACGAGGAACATCACAGGTGTTGATAAAAAAGGTTTGAATCAATTGGATTTTGGCATCCGTAACTGTCTACATGGGGAATAGTTCAAAGTCGTTGCTGACTCAAGTCAGATTTACTTAGTTAGTCGATATGAAATCCTAAAAAAAAAAACCACTTATTTTACATCTTTCAAGAAGCGTGACAAATTTCCCCCCCACAGAAGTGTGGTGGGATGAAGGATGAAGCTCTTGTTATCGAACTAGTGGGGAGGAGGGAGGGATGCTCTACAGGTAAGTATCGCTCGTAGACTCCCACCACACTTCTGTGGGGAGAAAGTCTACTTCACTCACTTACCTGTAGAGCCACTACATTTGCATAGAGTAGCACCGCCTTAAGGTGGTGGGCAGTGAGATATGTGTATTGTAAGTTCTAGTTTAATTAGTATGGAAGTATATATATAGACAATATAAACTCCCTGTAAGCTCTATGTGTATATACATGTAATAGTCAACCCTTAAACATTAATTAGGGAACTACTATGAAAACTAGTAAAGAATTAAGCATTGGATGGGACTCACCAAGTCAAATCCAATGTTAAGGTCTTTCTTCTGTAGTTTTGACGGCAGATTTTCTGGCTGCCGTCAGGACTGTGCATCCAGGTCTTCCCTCAGACTGCAATACATCTTTCAGGTAGCAGGCCGAGAATGTGTTTGGAAACCCCTTTAAAGAAGGCCCAGGATGTTGCAACCGCTCGAACATCATGTGCCCGAATGTCCGATCGGGACTGACTTGGCCAGTGGTTTGCTGCCGACTTAATAGCTGTCACAATCCAACGTGTGATTGTGTCTTGAGATGCTGGTCGATGAGGTAATGTAGACGTAATAAATAGCTGTTTTGTCTGACCCCTTGAGTGTTTTGTTCGGTCAACATATCATTTCAGAGCTCGTACTGGACACCACATCTTGTCTGATGGGATGGAGGAAAGCGATTTTATTTTCTGGGAGAAATATATCCGGTGGTTGAAAGGAAGCGGATTGATTTTTTGTCAGGAATTCAGAATTGGGGATCAATCGCACCCAATTTGGTTCCCACCGCACGTGGCCATCTTCTACTGTGAGCTCATGTAGTTCACTGCGACGTCTGGCAGTTGCTACAGCTAGCAAAAATACCACTTTTATTAACAGGTGTAATAGTGAAGCCTGACTCAAGGGTTCATACGGGGCCTTTGAAAGACTAGCAAGAACATGAGTAAGGTCCCAGGAAGGTAAAAGTTTATGTGTGGGAGGTCTTGTTATAAACATCCCTCGTAACAGATGGCCAATGGCTGTATTGTTGGATACTGATGAACCGTTGGGAAAGCCTTTGTGGATCGCCGCAATAGCTGACCTATAATTTTTTTATTGTGGCTATCGTTATCTTAGACTCGAAGAGGTAAACCAGAAAATCCCCAATATTTGTTACAGAAGTATTGGTGGGATCGATAGAGTGCCGTTTACACCATTTATAGAAATGGTGTAATCTGCTATTATAGACAGTCCTTGTTGAGGGCCTTCGACTCTGTGCTGCAATGTCAGCAGCCTTTCCTGAAAGGCCCGCTGCTGTAAGGGATCTCTGGACAATGTCCAGCAAGTCAGGTGGAGATCTGTCGGGGCTGGATGAATGAATCCCGACACCGGCTGAAACAGCAGATCTGGTCTGTGAGGTAATACTACCGGCTGATGTATCAGAAGTTTCACAAGTCTTGTGAACCATGGCTGACGTGGCCAAAAAGGGCCATGAGGAGAAGTTTGCATTTCTCCTGCTCCACCTTGGCTAGAACTCGGGAGACCAGAGATATGGGAGGAAAGGCATAAGCCAGCATGCCGTCCCATCGGATTGACAGTGCATCTATGTGCCATGCTCGAGGACTGGGCGTTCGAGAACAGAACACTGGTACAGTACAGTGCAATTGAAAGTTAACCCTGAAAGGGGGAAACATTTTCACACTTTTTCCACTCTCAAGAACTGAATATTCATTACACAAAATGTGAAAAGTTTTCCCCTTAGTGTGAACAGTTTTCACACATTTTTCACCAAAGTGGGAAAAAAATTTGCACCTTTTTCACACAAGTGGGAAAAATTTTCACACCTTTTTCACACAAGTTGGAAATTTTTTTACACCTTTTTCACACAAGTGGGAAACATTTTTCACACCTTTGAAAACTGAAATTACATGTGCATGGATATGTTATCATGGTCCTCAAAATGCGTATCTCCCAGTATGGA